TAGTGCCCTCTAGAAAAGGCATACTCTCATACAGCATCAGAAAGACACAGACTTACCTCAGTGGAAATGAGAGAAAACATTTCTCATGAGCATCATTATGCAGGAGGTTAACTACAAGAGATGTGGCAGTCATAAGATACTCATCTTCCATTGATTAAGGGTAGGAGAGATTTGCTCCCAGAGCAAGAGTATGCAAAAAAAAAAAAAAAGGCTATTTCAGAAAAACTGGTTAAGCCATGTTTCATAACCTCTTGGGAAAGTGTCTCCTTTCTGCTTTTATATTTCTCCTCATAAGTATATGAGAACACAGTGCCACTGATAGGGGTTTGCCTTTTTTAATTAAAAAGTTTGTGTAAAACACATCAAGTAAATCTCCCATTAGTACTTTTCAAAAGATATAACAGTTAGAAAGCTGAGTAAATCACATGCCGAGTCTATAAACTCAGTCTAGCTATTCTTAAAAAGCTGTTTTACAGCAGATATATATTTCCACCCAATAGATATGAAGGTGTTATAAATGTGGACATATTCTCTTTACTAATCCTTACTGATTCCCATTTTGTTCAGATTATCCCATTGTTGCTCTTACCACTCTTACAGGAAAAGCTGGAAGTGTTGGTTGGGCCTCATCCTGTAACTATCAAGACATCACAGTATCTATGAAACTAAATTCTAAATTCCACCGTAAATCTGCTTCTTCAGTCATTCAGAAATGTTAAAAGTTCTTGGAGATTGAATTTTTTTATTGAATTATTTTAATTCATGCACCTACCTAAGTCTGAAAGTCTAATATAGAAAAAAGAGCTATGCTTAGAGGAAAAAGGATTACTTACTTAGAAGTCTGGACCTTTGTAGTAAACATATACATAAAAACTGTATGTTATGTACACACAACATCCAACAAGCAATTAGTAGTTTATTGACAGCATGAAAAAAATTCTCATTATCTGAAAATCTGAAACAGAGTGTCACTAATATTGAATGGTATGGTATTTTTTGGCAGCTTTGAATACTTATTATTATTTTATTACTACTTTAGAAAGGGATTTTGAGGTCAGCAGTATTTTGAAAAATATAAAAGAAAGATGGATGAACAGTACTTCCTAGGGGATCAAAGCACTTATGGAGAGATGTCCAAAGGCAGAAACATACCTGGACTATGGCAGTTCTGGAGGGGAGCAGATTTGTTAGTTATGAGCTCAAAAATAACCACAACTTTTCAAATGGAAAAAGAAACTCAGAAGGCAGGCATCAAAGTGAGAAAATGAAGCAGGTACTTCCAGTAAATACTACAGGATTTATTGGACTTCCACTGAAAAATGTGAAGTGACAGCACCCTGTCACAAAACAATGGAAATGTGACTACACGTAGAAGAATGAGACAAGAGGGATACACAGGACAGAAAGAATAAGTGGTGTCATGTACACACAGACACACACACACAGAGAAGTAAAGCCTGAAGGAAATTATTCTGCCAGGGAAGGGAAGAAAAGCAGGTTTTATGCAAAGAATTACAGGTAATGAAAACATGGAAAATACAATGAATGAGGTAAAGAAGAACTGTCCGGGTAAGAAAGAGGCAGAACACTAAAAAGTATATTTATAATGTAGAAAGTAAGTGCAGTCACAAATTCTATGAGAAAAAAAGCAAAGCTATCAGAACAGAAGCCTGTAAAATTTAACGTGTTGTGTTAACTCAGGAAAGGGATGGACAGATTTATCCTTCAGCATCACTGAAGAGTTTTAACAGTGTCAAAGAACCCTCTTGTAATTCCACAGTATTTACAAACATAAAATGCTAGTTTCAGCTGGCCTTGCACCTCAATCAGAATATAAATGATTTCTTTTTTTCCATTTTGTAAATTATTCACAAATAAACTAGGATTTTAGCCCTTGATTCCTATACCTGCCACAATAGATCAAATTTAACATTTTCTAAGGAAAATAAGAGAATTACCTGTAAAAGTATTTCATAAAAACTTCCTTTTGCAGGTTCACTTGCTAGGAAAATTATGAATGAATCATCTTCAGTAACACAATTCCTGCCAAGCATGCAGTAATAACAAAATATTATCATAAGAAGCATGTAATTCACTTAATGCAGGGAGAAGAAAAAAAAATAGGCCAACTTTGGCAACTTATTTTTTTGAGATTTCATACTAAAGTTTTTTAGTGTTATTTCTGATTAAATCTTATGTATTTATAACATCATGACCTCACATACAATTTCAGAGGGTTACCAATAAATGTGTAAATAAATAAGTAATCAGGAGAATTTTTTTTTTTGTTGGTTACATAAGGAATAAAAAGTGGGGTTTTCTCCTTCAGAACTATATGCAGCAAAGGATAAAAAGGACTATGATTATGTCATAAATAACAGAAATGATGAGCAGAGTTCAGTAAATGACAGAGGAAAGGAGGACTAATGCTAAACCCAAGAGTTCTGTGTGATCTAAATTTCTCTATCAATCAGATTTGCCGATGAAAGTCATTCACTAAGAAACAATAACAGCAGGTTCTTTTGATATAAAAATTTCAGATTTACAATGGAAAACCAGCTCTCTAAGTGCTGTTTTGGGGGCATTAATTCATACGGTAACCCAAAAGTTAGAGGGAATGGATGTGAAAATCCAGCATTTTTCCAATCCTGAAAAAGGATACCTCTGCATACAAGTACAAGGGAAGCATGACTGCAGTATGGAAAGACAAGCCTGTGAAGATGAGCCTAAGTAACCTTTCATTCTGCTAGGCTAGGTACTAGCATCAAAGAAGATTGTCCAGTACAGACCTTAATGTAGGAGACAGCCATGGAAAATACACAAGGCTGTACTGACAGCCTTGTACTGACAATCTTTGCAACCTGACTGCTCTTGATGCTTCAGACAACTTTTTGAGTCCTACTCATCTGCATGAGCTGATCTAATGCCACCAGACTGCAGCATAGACATGCCCAAAAGCAAATGCCTAAGGCCTGCAGTGGAGGAATACTTGGAACTAATACTTGACACAACTAGTTACTGGTTATCTGTCCTTATCTTTCAGACAGTATCACATTGAAACATAGGACCTAAAGGTAAGTGTAAGGTAACTGTGTGGCAATTTTATGTGAATCATTACAGAAAAAGATCTCAAAAGAAGCACACTTCCAAGAAGACCTTCAGATAGAGATGCCTCTTTGAGTAACTGAATGTTTCACTGAGGAGACGTTCATAGACATTATTCTTATTCCTGGAGAGAAAAAAAAGTGCTTTATAAATGTAATCAATTTCAAGTTTTAGAAGTACTAGTTTACTATCTCTTAGTCTCTGAACTATTGCTGAAATACATATTTTAATTTTTTTATGAACTAATGGCTTCCACAGATTTCTTAAGTATATAATTACAAGTCAGGAAAGAAAGTTCATTTAATTCAATTTCTACAGAGTTGGTGAATGATTTAAGGTGTCTATGAAAACACTTAAAAGCCACAAAAACTTCTTACCTTTCCCTTCAAAGTTCTGGAATTTAAGCTGCTCAAACCAGTAATTTATCAGCTGTTGAAGGTGATGAAACAGGGCTTCACTGATGTGGGGGGAAATAACGATCTTGTGGTTAAGACTTTGAACTGGGAGCTACAAGACATAGCTCTTAGCCCAAATTTCCTACAGATTTTGTATGTGACCTCTGCAAGTCATTTCACTCCTTCATGTTTCTGTGCATCTGTAAAAATGGGAAATTTTGTTCTCTCTCTCTCTCAGGAATTCTAATGAACCAGCATGTCTGATATAGCATGATACTGGGCTACCTTTGTAATACTATAAACGGGAACATCTTAGGCACTAAAATTCGTCATTTATCATGTGAAATTGTACTTGCCACACATACAAACAGTTGCCAGTCATGACCTGGAAGTTACACGGCCTACAAGCCCTTCCAGGATAGCATTATGTTTTACAGAGATAATATCAATAACAATAGGAGAGATTCCATTGTAATGGGCCAAAGAATGGTCCTTATCCTGTTGGAAGCATTAATGTTCAATCTGTGGTTTTCCTTATGTCACCAAGTAAAAAAAGATCAGGTAACATGATTTTATGTTGATTGCATTTTGCTTAAATAAGCACATTAGATACTCTCTCTCCTTTCTTACCATACTATAATAATACAATGATGATTTAAATTTAGCAGAATTCTGAGGAATTAAAACAGCATCATGTAAACAGTGAGGAGACAATTAAAATGAGCCTGGATGATACTGTGACTTAGGAGAGACAGGGCACTGAAGTGCACAATTTCTTAAGAAGTTAAAAGTAAACAGCAAACCATTTTAATTTAATTCTTCCAAGATAGATACATTTAATTATCAGTGTTAATAACATTGTAACATGAAAGCAAACACTCAACATGACAATAGGCAGGGTGTAAGGTCACTGTGCAAAATACAGAAATCACACTTGTGACTGGAAGCCTGGCCATCAAGGGCATGACAAGAAGCTATTAATGATATGCAATGATATATAAAATACACTGGTTTGCTCCTCTGTTTCAATTGACAGCCACTGTATCCCATACAACTGGAACAGTCTGGGGTTATTGTTGCCACTGCCTCTTTGTCACCTGGCACTTTCTATTTCATAGTATAAAGTGGGACATTTTGCATTTGAACTTCTGCTTCTGCTGCTGTCAGGGGGAATTTTGCAACGTTTCCTCTTTTGTGGGTATTTACACCCAGGCCTACTCCATCGGTGAATTTCCCAGGAACATAAATGGTTTGGCACAGGTTGTTTTTCCTTTGGGAATCCCATCCAAGGTGAATGAAGTGACAGCAGATGTTTGAAACAAATTTCTGTGCATCTTGCCATGTAAAACCAAAAAGTGCAAACCAGGGTGGCAGAAGGTCATGTTATAATTTGTTCACTTATAGTACTCTCAAGCACTCCCAGTGAATGAAATTCCACAACCTGGCTAGGTATCACTGATACTGCTTTATTAGAAAGCTTTTATTTTCAGACTACCAGGGTTTTTTTCCACTCCAAATTAGAAGCTGATTATTTTATGCTCCACTGGTAAAGCTTCTCATCTTTCTGTAACAATATTTTACATAGGAAGAAATTATGTCCATTCAGCCTTCCTCCAAATCCAACTCTTTCAATATTACATACCTGTAAGTCATGTTTTCTGAATGTTTTTGCTGTTGTCCTCCAGTTGCTTTTTAAAGTTGCTCAGGTCTGGACACACCTTCAGTAGCAGGACATACCTCTCCTGGATTAGATGATACTCTATTAATTCACCCATCAGAGATTTCCTTTTTGCCCCTCTATCTTTCACAGTATCACTTATCTTGTTAGCTTAGTACTGGTTTACTAGTCACACTAAAATCCCTTTGTCTTCTGCAGTATTTCAGTGGGCTATAATCCATTTTATATTTGTGCATTTGATTTTACTTCTGTAAGTGCAATACTTTATACTTGGCTTTAGTGAATGACATCATGTTTATTTACAGTCCTCTATGTATCAAGCAATTCTGTCCTTTGAGATAAGGCAGGTTCAGACAATAGTAAACTGAAATTCCACCAACAGGGTTGCAATTAAAGTACTGAACAAGAATGGACCCAACAGACCCCCATGTGACCCTACTTTGACATGAGATAACTGATAATCACTCCAAGTTTACCTTTTGAAGCAGTCTGCTTTTACTCCATTGCATGATTTGCTTAAGCTTTAATGATAAAAGTCTTACTGCAGTCAAACATCTCATCTGCTGTATCCATCTTCTGCAGGCTGGTTACTCAGTCAAAGGACAAAATTGGAGCAATTTCATAAGGATCAGTCCTGAAAACTTAAAATTGACTTTCATACTTTAAGTTTAAATACTTGATGAATTTCTTGCAGATGTCAAAGTAAAGATAATTCCCCAGGGCCTCCCTTTTTGCCTTGAATGTGGTTCCAGGTGGTCCCCTCCTATCTTCTAATAGCTATATCTCCACGATATGGCTGTCTCTCCCTTTCTCCAAGATAACTGATCATGGTTCATAGATTCTTTTGACTGGATCCTTAACTTCAGTAGTTTAACAGATTTGCCATACTGACTTGAGGCAGTCACTGAAAGAAAAATAAGTATGCTTAAATTACTATCTGGACAAAAACATGTTGGTATGCTGGACAGGTCTAAGTGTTCAGAACCTCCCATTTCTGATCTCAGAAGTTTTCTTTTTTAAATAATTATTAATTTTTTTGGGATTACAGAATTGTCCTGCTAATTTAGCTTTGTAAGATAAACAGAGGAAAGAAAAAAATATAAGCCAAACAGTTATGTGGAATCAGCTTATCTTGAATTATTTTTCTGTTTCTGCCTGGTTTTCTTCAGAAAGTGTTAAAAAGAAATACGATACAATACAATAGCTAACCATGAATGAATTTTGATGATGTTTTCTTAAGATTTTTCAAATCCAAATAATTCTAAGATATCTGAATAAAATTTCAGTGCTACATAGCATCAACTTGGAAGACTTTAATAACTACCTTCAGTAATTTTGTTTCTGAAATGTCTTTTCTTTAGCGATGATTTACTTTCTTATGTGTTGTTCATTTACATATTTATATTGTAATTGCACATGTTCCCCGGCAGTTAAGAATTTTCAACCTTTGCACTACCCACAGCATGTGTTCACACCACATCTTCACACATACTTCAGATACAGGTGCTGTGTCATCTCAGTCCTGGCTCCACTACAGAATTCCAGAGTTCTCAGAAAGACTTACCCTTCAGTGCAACTTACGAATATTTTTTTTTCTCCATTTTTAAATGTGTGTTTAAACATCTCCATGCATCACTCTCAGTGACCTGGAAAGGGGTGTCACAGTCCTCATACTAAGACTTATAGATAATCTTACAAGTTTAGCAACAACTCCTTGATGTGTGTGTGATGCCATAAGTCTTGCTGAATGTCAGCTCCAAGTCTCTTGGCTCTGCTCTGAGCAGAGAAGAGCTTCACAATTATCTACAGTGGGCACTCTCCTCAAGGGTTGCCAGAGTTCTGACGAAGTGTGACACTGAGCAGGTTCCTCCACAGACATGTCATACGTATATCATTATCCTGTTTAGCAGCCTTTTCAGCTACGGTTGCTTTGCTATTAACATGATCCTGACTTGATCTTCTGAAGACAAAAACACTCTCTCCTAGCATCCTGGTAATGAAAGAATGGCCTAGGTATGGAAGGCTACATAAAATTACACTCCCTAGTTAAAACAGAATCGCTTTGGAAGAGGGGAAGCTCTAGGACTTCATGGATGCTTTATCCAAAGAAGTGAAAGTGGCAGAGACCATCCTAAGTGTGGATTTCACCTGCTCTCCTGAACAATGCTACAATCTGAAAAGAGACACAATCATGAATGGCAATGCTGTAAACTCCACCAAGGTTCTGTCCTGCAGTCCTAATCCTGATCATTACCTGGTTTGTTCCCGTTGGTCTTCCACACTGCAAACAAATTAATTAAACCTTAAAGAGCCTTTGAGAATACTGAATGTACATGTGTGGCTGGTGCACCAAGATAATGCTGCAAATTGAATGTGGAGCAGACTATGGGATGGTCGAGCTCCTTTAGCTCAAACAGAAAGTCTGGACCTTCAGCCAAGAGAGAATAAGCAGAAGGCTTTTTGGAGAACTCTCTCATAGAGCCCTTTACGCTCTTGATAAGGATTTCTCCCATAGCACAGGAACATCAGTACTCTAACGCTGACAGATGTCCAGTACTCACATTGAAATAGGAAGGTTGAGTGGACTAGAATATGTAAAGAATTTTTAATCAGCTCAGAGATCAGATAGAGATGTTAGTTCAAGATTTGTTATTGACAGATGTAGATAAATATAAAAACACGAACCAAATCAAGCCTAAGATTATTTTTCCAGAAAGACTAGAAAGGGGCTCATCATAGTAGGAGGATGAATATCTAAGTATTCTGTCCAACTTTTCACAGCCTGAAAAGATTCCTGAAGAGAAAAAGCTCTGATTGATAGATTTCTGCCCTCCTTTGAATTTTAGGGACTATTTAATGCAGATGATTTTTTTTTGTTTTGTTTTGTGGGTTTTTTGTGGGGTTTGTTTGTTTGTTTACTGGCCCTGAAATTAAAACAAATAAAATTGAAGAACCGTAAGGTGGTTGATAGAATCTGAGCAAACTGATCTTATGTTTTAGAAGCTAGTTATTCAGGCAAAAAAAGCTGTGGTCCATCTCAGATGAGCTATCGGCACTGTCAGGCCTCTGCTAAAAGACGACTAGTCCAAACAAAAGTAATTTGCATTTTTTTCTGAAAGTCCAAATATTTTCAAGGATGTGATTAAAATAACAGTCCTTTCCTATATTGGAAAATTACAGAAGTGGGACTATTTTCCTGAATTTGAATTTTAAGCATAAATGCTTTCTCTTGCAAATCTAGGATGAATCACCATTGTACTTTCTGTTTGGGAGTAAAGTGTGTACTGTAAATGCAGATAAATTAGTTCTATGGATCTCAGTTTTCCAAAGTATCACCAAGTGCTTAAAGAAATTATTATACAGAGAGACTGAAAGTTGATGTGAAGACAAAAAATAAAAAATAAAAATTACTGAACACCGTAGTCATGGACAACAAAATTAAAGACTCCAGTTCATATTAGCATATAAAAAGGTCTGATGAAGCTGAGCTAGTCTCTCATCAGAGGAGGAGAGGCAGAAGGTAGCACAGATGGTGAAAACAGAGGAAATTATTCATGGTTCCTCGTCACACCTTGAAAGAAGCTACTGAGAAGATGATGTTGAAAATTAAGACCAGAAGGCATCCCAGAACAACAAAACCTCTAAACCCCCCTTTATATTCCAAAGGTGTAAATATGTCCTGAGGTTAAATAGGCTTATGGTTTGAGGATTTGTCTTTTATAGAAAATGAAAAAATCAAGATTTCTTTTTATCTTTCAGAGTAAAAATACCTGAACACCAAAAGTTGACTCTTGAGTCTTTAAACAAATGTAGAATCTTGTTTTCTTCAGATTACTTGAAAGCAAGAGCTAAAATGTCCTGTACATTACATTATTTGCAATGTCACTCAGACCTGCAGCATCAAACATAACTTAGAGAACCATGGGGAAAATTAACTTTTCCTTAATGCAACCTCAAAATTCTTCTAGGATCTTAACAGACTACTTACAACACAGATGAGCTGACAACTGTGCTTATCCTACAAGCAAGCATCGCCTGAATATTTACCAGGAATAGCTGCAAGGAAAGCAAGAAGCAGATTTTCCCAACAGAATAAAGTTTGAAGGTTCCTTCCACCAGCAAATATCAATTAGTGCGCTTTTTTTAGATGTGTCCACAATACCGTCCATGACAAAGATATCAGATAAAATGTATTTTAAAACCAGCTTTATGGACTGTGGATGTGTATATTCTGTGAATTTTCCAGAGGAAGAGGATGGAGAGAAGTGAGGAAAAAGTGTATTGTAGAACCTAGAGCCTACCTAGGTTGTAAAACCTTCCTAAGGTAAACCCCCTCACCAAATAAATATCCCCATCCAGGCAAAAAACACCCACCATCACTGCAGCACAACACCATTTTCTGCCATTGCTGAAGTGGGAAAAAATTGCAGAGTACAGCAGTTCTTAGGTTATCATGAAAAAGTCGAAGAGAAGGCAAGTCACACTGCCAGGAACCAGAGCCACCACCACCAGTCAGGTGGTGAGGCAGAACTGAAACAGCTCCAAGTACACGAAGTACTTATGCACCAAACATGGTGAGTGGGGGCAAGACAGGACATAAGCATGTACAGTAAGAACAAGGGAAAGCAAATACACTTAGTCCAAAATGACTGGCAGGCCAAAGACATTCAAAGTTAGAATCTTTAACTTTTTGCAAAACGGGGAGGACCACAAACAGGCTGCAAGGTTTATAGTCAAATAGGAAACATAAAGAGGATGGAAAACAAAAAATGCTGAGTAATGAGAGAAAGTTAATAGGAATCTTCAGTTTAGATTTTAGGACTTCTTGTGGTTTAAATGAACATAAAATAAAGTGGGTCTTTGATATCAACAAAAGTCCAATTTGACCGGCAGGTGAAAGTTCAGGACTCAATTCCTGACTCTCCTAAAAAATACACATAATTCTCTATTCTACCCCTGCTGAGGTGGAAAAGGATTTTTCTGGGGTTCAAAATGAAGTTAGTAAAATTTTGCCACCTCTCCAAAGTACTATAACAAATTAAGAAGATATGATGGTGCCACAATATGTAAACATATTCAAGAATATGTATTGCTTTTAGCCAAGCACAAACCATCACATTATTTCAGAAGAGAGAAATATTCAAAACCAAAAATGTTAAATCTCTGCTGATTGCTTCCCTGTGGTTTAATTAGTGAGGAAAGGCAGAAAGGCATCACAAAATTTCCATTTTAGTTTTACTGTTCCCCACAGCCAATATTTTATGCCTTTGTTTTTATTTCTAGGTTCCAGGGACACATGCAAAACATTCAAACTTTTCCTTTTGTTTTCTACCATTAGAAATTCTGGACACAAATAAAATCTTATAATGGACCACTAGCATTCCTTTCTTCCCCTTCACTTTCATAAACAATAAACTTATTGTATGCCAGTAACAATATACAGACACTCTGGTTTACTTACAAAGATAATTCTGCAATCCAGGGTACTTCTGTAAGAAGCAATAAGGATATGAAATGTCAGTACTCAGAAAGGAGATCTCAAACATGAAAGAACCTTGAGCACTGTGCTGTGTCGTGGCAACACTAATTCACATAACAAAAAGAATGGTCTGTTGCTAGAATCTCATCTTAAAAAGAAATATACCTTAACTCTCAATTATAAGCTTTTGTTATATAAAACCTCTCACAACTTTTCATCGGTTTTAAATTGCATTCTGACTTCTATAACCTGCTTCCATTTGTTAACCAAAGGGCAGAACATGCTGCATGCTCAGCTTGCACGACAGACATCTTTAATGAAAAAGTTAGCTGGATGTTATATAGCTAATATCATATTTTTAACAGCTTGATTGGTCTCCATGTGTCAATTAGTCTTTAGAAAACTCTTGTTCTGTTGGAAACATGGTTTGATATTATTTATACTTTATATTATTAAATTTTTTGAGCATCCATTTTCCCGTTTTTCATTCGTTTTTGTTAAAATTCAGAAACCTGTGAGAATATGTCTTACTCACAAAACTGTTCCATATTCCCATAGAGAAAAATTGTAAGTAAAATTTTCCCCACCCTGCCCTTATACCGATGAAATGGGCCTTAATAAAGATAACAGAAATCTAGAAAATACAATGCACAAGGCTGACAGAAAACAGCATGTAAGGTTAGCACAGTCCTTCCAGTCTCCTCTGCTTAACTGGAACTGGAAATTTGCTCTAAGTTCTCCCCACTGCAGCTACTGTGTGGCACAGAAACGACCAAAATCCCAACAGCAAATTCACTACCTGGTATGAACACTACTGTGGTTTTCATGTAAGAGACCTCAAATATCCAGGTATTATTTTCTTTGGCAATTTCTTACAAATGTGTTTAGAAACTTAAATGAACTTGTAACAGATGATAAAGGTGATCAAAATTATCAAGGCCACAGAGTGCAACATGCTGGACTATGGATAAAAGATGCTATTGGGATCCTTTGCTTGTGTGTCTTGTGGCCATACATAGAACTTCCCATACGGTTAATGTGAGGTCCAGAAAGCTTCCTGCTATAGTTGAAAATGTGAAAAAGACTTTGAGGATTCAGTTGACAGAAGTGAACAGTTGAACCCCAGACAAGAGAAACCACCTATTTTCAGCATGCTGTATAAATCCATCATAAGTGTGTCTCAGGAAAGTTTCCCAAAGATTATATAAAGAAAAAAAATTAGGGAAGAAACAAAAAAATCAACAGTATTTAAAAAGAAAACTGAAGACAGCTAAAGACTGAAAACTCAGATACCCCAGAGTGACCAGGACAGGCACAAAATGGAAACCTTTTTTCCAGAATCTCCAAGAATTTTACCAGATCGTTATTTTGTTGCAAGTTTTATCAGTGGGATGTAAAAACTACCCTCTGCCCCTTCTTCTTAAACTGCCACCCTGGAAAAGGCTGGCAAATAGCCATAAGACTTTCATATAAAACCTGAAATGTTACTTGCATCCAATTTTTTCTTCCAAAACTGATTTATTTTCACCCTACCATGCAAACGTATCCAGGCACCACAACAAGAGGACAAGCCAAACTGTGCTTGTAAGATTCAGTTAGGCAAAGCAGTCATGGTTTCAAGTTCCTCTATTCAGCCATCCGAACTTAGAGTGGATACATAAACTATCATTACAAGAGTTTTGGAAAGTGGTGAATACCAGAAATAGTTTGCAGTTGTCTTATAACAATAATATACTCTTCATTTGTTTCCATTCTCTATGGAACTCTTGGTTCCATGATTCCCACAAGTCACACAGTTAACATTTAATATTTCAACACTGGAAATTGTTTATGTTTTTTTAACTCCAAGAATTGTGCAACAAACTAAGCAAGCAAGTAACCATAGAAACTGTGGTAGAGAAAGAACTAATTTCAGCTAGGAAACTGCAGTGTATTTTTAATTCTTGCAAATGTTATTCTGTCATATTCTACATGTGAAAAAATCATTTAACATTTGCAGTAACTCACATATACTTGTTATGTACTAAAAGACACTTCTTACTACTGTGCTGTAGTAAGTATTCCATTTCTCTCTTCTTTCTTTTCTCCTCTCTCCCTCTATCACAGTACAACATTTTCTTCTGTTAGCTTACGAACACCTGTATAAAAAAAATTTTACAAGGGTCTTCAATGGAGAAGAAAAATGCACCCTGTGTAGTTATTTTTAAGCAAGTAGACTTTAAGAGTCAGTTATATTTACTGTCCTGTTAAAAACCAGCTTTTGTGGCATATTATCCTTAAATTGGCTAGGAAGGATTCATATTTTCCTTATTCTAGGAACTTTGCTAGGCAGGCATTAAATAACGAGTCCATGAACACATCTAATGATATAAACTACAGCCTGCATGATATATGATGCAACTGAAGCAGTTCAATGAAACAGGATCAAACCGCTGTTTGGAATCAAAATGATTTTAGGTACCCACATCCCATACGTGACATGGATCTTCATACCCAAAAGGAGTCTTAAATTATGTCCTGTGCCATCTTAAAGACACTTTGCTTATAACTATTGTTTCTTAATGATGGTAAAGAACTACACTGGTATTAGTGAACATAAGATAAAACGCTGAGGTTTTCTACTCAACTGCCTATTTTATCCCAATGTTGGTATTTTATGAAGAGTTGAAAACTTCCAGGAAGAAAAAGACCTCAAAACTATCTGGAAATTTGTAATTCATCCATTTGGATTACTTGAGGACTTAAACAAAAATATTTGAAATAGTATCTTTCATAAAAACTGAATACGTCTAAACGAAGAAGGCTACACTTGTCTTCTCTTGCAAAACAATGCTTATAAGTATCTTTCTGTAAAAAGCATCCCAAAAATTTCTGAAAGCAGAGTAATGTACTTTTATTTTTAATAGGAAGAACCCAACCCAAAAAAATGTTCCCAAAGATTCAGCAAACTATCATGAAGCTATGCAGGCTTTGTGGACTTTGTTTTGGGAGGCATTTCGGTTGAATTGTTAATCTAATAGATAGAGATATGTGCATATAAACTTCCAGTACTTCTGTAGCACTCTGATGAGTAAATTTTAATTCAATCAAACAACACACCAATTCAACAGAATGCAAACCCATACAGATCACATCTCCAATCCTGTAAGTACAAGACATCCATGGAATGAAAAAACAGAGAGCCTGGATAAAGCCAGTTCTTCTGTTGACTCTGGCATGGAAATGCATCCTCTTGATTTGGATAACAAAGGCCAAGACCACATGGTCCCTCAGGAAGCAACTGGTTGGAGATACAGTGGGACATAAACAAAGCTTCACACAGCTACTAGCACATGTTAACTGCCACAAACAGCAGGGTTACTGCTTTGGACTAGTGGGAGGTGGCCACTTCTCTGCAGCTCACAGCACTTCATTTAGAAACATCTGCTCTGCCAATTTCATTAATCAAATGTATTTTTATACCTCATGATTATATGTATTATTAATGATATTGTTTTAACGCATTTTTAAAAATTAAATCTGTGAAGTACTTTAACCAAAACAATATGGATTTAACATTTTTATCAAGTAAAGAAACAAAATACCACAAATAAGAAGAAATTTGGACACAAGCCCAATGTGCCAATTTATTTTTTATTCTCTTTCTACTAGCAGACTCTAGTTTGAACAATTCTTCCTCAAAACCATGCAGATTTCACTGGACAGTACAAGCATTTGCTACAACATCATTCAGGTACATTACTTAAGATGATAAAAAAAATCTTCAAACACTGTACTTCAGAAGTAAAGAAGCTGGTGTACAGCTTTGACAAGATTCCAAAAAGTATGTATTAGTTTTAGAAGGGCAAACACTGCTTATTTTTCTTTCCATGACCAAATGATAAACACCATACCAAGGAAAAACCACACACAGCTACAAATGCTTCCTAAATTCAGACATCATATTCATACCTTATCCTTACAATATTTTAATGTAGCTCAGTTGGTTGCATCTATTGAGATCATCTATTTAGTGACTGCAAAATTACGTACGTACAATAAATAACAGATCCACTAAGTCAGTGATAATAACGTATTACCTAATAAATAACTGCCAATTCCAGTGACACATCAAGACAATGTTCCTTTCAAACCTTACCACCACTTTACCCAACGATCACAAAGTCAACTGCAATTACTGAACATACAAAGAGTAAAAGCACACATATAGCCAAAGAAGTATCTTAACACTCAAATTTCAACATATGTAATATATGTTGCACACATCAATCCATAAATCAACGCAAAATTTGATAAGGGTGTCACGGGTTCTGATATTAATATTCTGGCATCTCATACATCAAATGGCAAGGTTGGACAGTATTAACTTTACTTGCAAGTATGCAGAACTAACTGGAATGTTTAGATGGGATAAGTAATACACATCCCAACAGAAATCACATCATAATTTTCATAATTAAACCATACTTACTCTGTAACATCTGCCCCTGACCAAACCTTTGCACAGTGTCTTAAAAAAGAACTGGTTTTCCATGCTGACAAGTACGGCTTTTATAAGTGGGGAAGGTCTGAAGTAGTTTGCTTTTTGTAAAAACTACTCCTTCTCTCCAAGAAAATGACTGAAAATAATCTAGACCATCTATTACAATACTGAAAGCTTGAACTAAAAAGCTTAATGTAACCACAGACTGACACAGAATTCCAAGTAAGCTACAATTCACGGGCAAACTCTTTTTAACCTGGCTGCTTTTTACAGGATACTCTCTCTCTCTTCTCCAAAACCAGCCCCCTCTGAGCCTGCAACAGTGTGAAGCTCTGATGAATCTTTTGAAAGCCTGGTGTAACTTGAACGCTGGCTCCGCTTGTGAGCAACCGTCTTCAGGTTCTCATTCTGAACCGCAGTTGGATTGGAACCTGAGCCAGGGTGCAGGATGATTTGAGATGGATCTCTGATACCTTGTATTTCTTCAAAATTTTGATTAGCTCGATTGCTTGGAGCACTGTTGTTATTTAAGGTGACTGTACTAGGGGTTCTGTTTAAATTATAGACTTTCTGGCAAGCTGGCCAGTTCTCTTCAGGGCTACTTGCTATCAGGCTGCTTTCAGAAGGACTTTTCTTATCTTCTGAGCAAATAGACAT